ACAAAAAGACTCCAGAACTCGTCCCTTCATCAGTCTATCAGACTCTACAATCAGACTTGTCATACCTGGGATTTACTGATCATGTAAGTAGTGTATATAGCTTTGTATATATGTATGTAATAATGTTATGTGTTTATTTTAATGTAATGATGTAAATACCAATTCTATTCAGGCAACATTATAGTTCTTTTTTGTATGTCTGCAATTCCGGTATGGAAGTAAAGAATTGAATTGAATTGAAAGATATCGATGCGCAAGATGGCACAGTAGAAGGCATCTGCAGCTACCACCAGACAAGACCCAAAGAAACGGGCCGCGGAAGACGATACGTAACCCTGACGTGACCAAAAGATTGTGGAATCTGACAGTGCCCAGTATCAACCCACCATAATAATCCCTGGCCACTTCGGGTTACCATTTCATTCGTCTCTACATTGATCTATCTCTACGGTCACCCCAGTACTGCAGTAACCATGTAGCCTTACTTTTTCTAAACGAATAAGTTTTATTTTGTTGAATGTTGGATATTTATCATTCACATTTGTTCTAACAACGTTTACATCTTTTACAGTTTATGCTTAGGTCACAATTCAAGAAAGGGCCCGCTCGGCGCGTGTTCGGCGTGTTTTTTGGCACTACCGAACGGGACCTGGACGGAGACCGGCGGGCTTCCCGGCGGCTGCCGGCCTATTTTTGGCCCCGCGCGGTCGCCGAATCGATTTTAACTCAGAGTTAAAAACACTTCGGGCCCCGTTCGGCGAAATACGCCGAAGCGACGCCGTAACCTCACTGCCCGGGACCCGTCGGGCGGCCGAACAGGCACCTGCCTAAGATTATGACGTCACATGTGCTGATCAGTGCATCAGATGGTCAGGAAAAGGGGGTTATAGGGAGCATATATAAACTCCTGCCTCAGACTACGTCGCACAGTTCACCACGTGTGTGTTACATCGTGTACTTGTGTGTGTTACACCTTGTATTTGTGTGTCAGAATGTCGAAGGGCAAGGGAAAACAGCCGGCACGGCTCTCTTGCCAACTTCATAAAACAGATCATAACAGGAATAGAATGTGTCTGACATTATCTCTTGTTACATCATATGCCTTCGTAATAAAATGGAATCAGAAGTTATTGGCATTTATTTTCAGTCCAAATTTCAACAGAAGTAACGATATTCAGTGGTTTTATTGCTCAATAGCAAGGAGATGCCACGGCACACTTCCTGCGTCACTGTTGAAGTACTTTCGAAAGTAGGCCCTCGGTTACTTTTGCGACGCACCAGTTCTGCCTGCCTCTCTTCTTCAGCTACCAATGCCAGAAGACCTACTTGTAGGTTGTCACCAATCTCAATCTCAGACGGGCTTGTAAGTTGTTTGCAGGTTGCACTGAACGCTGCATCGCCAACTTTAGTCTACTCTTTACTTGACGTGTACTCTTTACTTGAAGTGAACGATAGCAGGCAGTGCAGCGCTTATATATGTACCTGCTCAAAAACACGAGAGGAGCCCGTCGGGATCCCGCCAGGAACCCGCCAGGGACCTGACAGCTGCCCGGCCGAACTGTAAGAGCCGGACGGCACCCTACCACACGCCGCACGGGTCAAGACGGACGACTGACCGGGCACCGGACGGGTCCCTGACAGAAACCGGCCGCAAAAGTTTATGAATATTAATGAGAGCCGCCGGCCGGAGAACAAGCAGGCCCCGACAGGGAGCCGTAAAGGAACATTTAATTGTGACCCTGACAGTACGGCGCACGCTCGGCGTCATGACGCCGGCCGGCGTCTACGCCGAGGACATGCCGAACGGGCGCCGTTTCAAATGTGACCTAAGCATTAATGAAGAGAGCAAAATTCCCATCCATATTATTGTAGACCGGCGCAATCTTTGATCGCCTGAAAACTCAACTCAAACGAGCCGATTTCACTATGATATTTTTCATCTAAAATCGATGTTTTCACACGCAAAGAAATAATGCATGCAGTCGCCATGGGCAAGTCCCTTATACTAAGTTTATGGGGGAAAAAACCGGGACCGAGAAAAACAGGTCGTCATTGCCAGATGATCAGCTTATACAGCTTAGGCAAGTTTTACTGTCCTCGTTAGTTATACATGTACATGCCTAAAGACACAGATAAGAATAAGACGCGTTCACATTGATTGCGGGAGCAATACATTAAATGGTCTATTTGAGCAAGAGTTAGACAAATGGCGAGGTGAAAATCCGGCAACTACAAATTATAATATCTTGTATCTAGACCTGGTCTTATCCCTTGAACACCAGAGACCGTCGCGACTCGAGCAGTGATATAGGGGATTCACCAAAACAACAACAGGGTGATGCTACCCCCAGCGTGTTTCTGCCCCCAGGAACCGATATGACCCAGAAGAGACTGGGTTACCCTGAACCAGGCGATGGATTAGGTGGCCAGGAGACAACCTGGTACGGTACGCGGTAGGGCAGGACCTGCCTTCAGCTGCGGAGAGGACCCCCAAACCATCAACCATATAGCACCTGATGCGTAGCACGGACACAGACCTCC